AAACATTGAGGTGGTTTCGCGAGCTCCCTGTTCAGTGGTGGTGGTGTTTAGGCTTTACGTAGGTAAAGGTATAAAAGGGAAGACCAACACCATCACTCCCATTAATGGTATTGACAGTTACAATTAGAAACAAAACAGAGCATTTCATGAAAATAATTATAATAAAACTAAATAGTTAACGGCTTCGGTTTTAAGAAACAAATTATACTGTTGGAATTGTGTATTATTTATAAGTGATAAATCTTCCGCTTGGGGTAAAACAGGCTATAATAATTTACAAAATTTGTCACGAGCTATAGAAAAGCATGAAAAATCACAGGAACACATATTTTCTTCGATTAAATTAGAAATGCTTGGTAAGCAAAACATTGCCAATAATTTAGATTCGGCTCATAAAAGGGAGAACTATTACGAGAAAGTTGGTGAAAATTGGGCAATTTTGAAAAGACTAATCGATGCAATATAATTTATCTGTCAACGCAAGAGTGTTCTTTTCGTGGGCATGACGAAAAAAAATATTCAGATAATAAAAGATATACAAAGTAGTGCTTTTCAATTTGAGCCTCCTCTGAAGAAAACTTTACGAGCCGCCACTGGTTCCAGGCATCTACATATAGAGCCTCATAATCCATACTATACATAATATTGATGCATATAAGCCATTAAATAACAACCACACTTATAAAACAAGAAATGGAAGCAAATTAGGAATTCCCCTGCATAAGACAGCACTCTATAAAAATAGTCCACATTATCTATCTATATGCTGTTATAATAAATTATATGATCACTTAAAGAATATAAATAAAGCTAAACAAAAACATTATATAAAAAAGTTACTGATTGAAAAAGAGTACTACTCGTTAGAAGAATTTCTTATAATGACCGAACATTGTAATCTGAACTTATGTCTGCATATATGTATGTATAGGTATGTATATGTATGTACCTATTTGTGATTTTAATGTTTAACCTGTAATTGACTTGTTCTATACATTTATATATGTCTTAGAGAACTAATAATAAACTTTACTTTACTTTACTCTGTTATTTATGCTAAGTGTAGGCAACCAAATACACAGTTTCATTCGCACAAATTACAATAATTAAATGATCCACGGAGCAAGAAGTTCCACGTTTAGGAGCATGTTTATAATGGGGTGCAGGGCGCGAAGCGCCCGTGTGTCCATTAAAAAGTCGACATTAGCCCTCCACGCGTTGGAGACTATAAAAATTAAGTTATGCTAACAACGGATGCAATTTTTGTATATTTATATCTATTTTTCTTGGTGCGAGTTCATTCGCGCCAAGATGATCCACGCCAAGATGGCTTGCGCCAAAGTGTCCCTGCGCCAAGTTGGCTTTGCGCCAAAATGTCTCGCACCAAGTCGGCCGCCAAATTGTCCTAGACCGGGGTTCGTGATATACATGTTTAGAGATCAGATATATTTAATTGTACGTCCCAAAACCACTATATTTTAAGAGTAATTTCAATTTTTGTGAAGATGTGTAAATGCGCACTCTTATTAGACAGTCCATTGCAAAAGAGTGCGCATTTGAACGCTTATAAGTGCGCATTACATTTTATAAAAAAATCTTTGTTTCTAAGGTAAAAATAAATGGGAATAAGTGACTACAGACTATACACATAAAACGGGAGACCTATTTCTTCGTACTCTAGGGGTCTTGCAAAGTCGAGAAAACGTAAAAGTAGAGAGTCGGTCTGCGGACTCGATTACAGTACTTCTTTCGCTTACGTTCAGGAAGTAAAAATTAAAAAAAAAACATCACCATAACCACCACCACACAACTTGCGAAGCAGTACAAAGTAGTAGAGTTAAATAATTCATTATCGTGTGATATGTATCTACAAGATTACGTATCGCAAGCATTGCGCACTCTTATACAATACCTCGCTGCGCACTCTTGTAACTACATTTGTACATAACCTAATGTTTTCAAACTTAAAAGCTTTTGATAGTATAAAACTGCTAGTGTATAACGACACCTTAAAAGTTACAGCTAATGAAAATTATTACTGTAAAACAAAAGAACTGATGGGTACCTTACAAAAAACTAAAACTATGAGCGGTAAAAACTACATCTATACAATGCGTAAACATAAAATTGTCAGTACGATCAAACTATAAACTATATAAGTACAGGTCACTTTTGCACCTTTATCTCAAATTTAGCATTCGATTGTGAATGATATAACTTCATCTTACCCAGATGGCACTAATAAACAGAAATCATCAGTGCGTACTCTTATAGGTACATATTCGCACTCTTGTACACATTTACCCTATAAAGATCGTGAACGGATAATAATAGGCACAATTTTTTTGTTGATAAACAATTTCTTACTAGACAACCAACATGCTTCATTTGTTACTAGTGGCTTACTTGAAGTTGTGTCAATAAAAATCTAAATATTATCAAGTCAAGTGTCAATTTAAAATTAACTGTCAGAAATATCACTTGAAATGTTTATTTTTAAATTTTGCTGGGATTATAGCTACATGTACGAAATGGGTCTTATACGCACAGGACGTGAAACTTCACGTCTAGTGCGTAAAACACTACCATTTCGAAACTTGTGGCATAAATAGCTATTAAAACGGGACGTACCACAATATGATTGGACAAGTTAGACCTCCAAAGGAGGACCTGATACTTGAACACCAATGATATTTAGCTGAGTTCCAGACTGTTGTAAAAACATCTCTCTTGTATTTGCTGAGCTTAAGCTTAGGTGGTTTATAGTTATCCTTGTCTTACACATCTTTAGACGGAGAGCAACACACGTCTCCAAGGCCACTGAAGTCTCATAGTACTATATAACTAAACTAATTCCGCTCCTTCACATCATCCGCCCCAATAAAAGAGGATTAGCGTGCGACGAAAGTCAAACAAATCAATTTTTTTTTTAATCTCTTCTCGAAATACTCCATTGTTTTTTCTAATACGAATTATGATTAAACTACTTATATATAACTAAATATTTTCGTTACTTGATACATAAGGTACAATATGCATAAATATCTAACCAGAAGAGGTGGGGCTATTGCCCAACTCTTCTTGGCCATTGGCTAACAACAAAGGTCTCTTATTTCTATGATAATCGCACCGGAAGCAATGAAAATGAAATAAGCATGAGACGTATTCTCTAGATTGCTAACTTGTGTGAAGTATTGGAACTTTTTTTAGTAGCTCAAAAAAATTCCACAGTCCAATTTGCCAGAATTGTGGCAGAAATGTTCTTATCGAGACTGATGTCTGATTCCGAATAAAGCTGATAAGCTTAATAAACCGATAGGTCTAACTGTTTGTCGTGTTCGATGTTGTTATCGCATTCATCGTTGTTCCAAGATGCTATCCACACGTGTAATGTTTTTTGTGAATTTCTTCTTTGCGTCAGTTCTACTGTTGCAAAATCCTTTTTCACAAGGCACAGTGCTCGGTAAGTAAGAATGTTAGACTAGTTAGAATGTTGAACAATAGACAACTAAAATATTTGCATTATTCTAGAACAAAAAATTCAAGAAAAAACGAATTTTGTATAAAATTTAATTGAACGTAAAAATGAATTCTCATTTCGCGTACTCACATTTATTGTTTTCGTAATATTGCATGTACGTATTCTTAATTTTGCCTTGAACAGCTGTAAATAGGTGGGGGTTCCAATGATAATCAGGTGATCTTATACTTTTCCCTAGATGGGCCCCACGTGTTTTCGTTTTTTTATCTCAAATCTATTACCTTCATCTTTAAATATAGCGGAGCTGACAATTTTAAATACGTTTATCAAAACCACGATTAAAAGATGCAATTATCAGTTAAATTTTTATGGTCCATGGGTTTTAAATAAGATTCAGCAATATAAAATAGTGTATAGGGTAAATGTGTACAAGAGTGCGAATATGTATAAGAGTACGCAGTGATGATTTCTGCTTATTAGTGCCATCTGGGTAAGATGAAGTTATACCATTCAGAATTTAATGCTAAACCTGAGATAAAGGTGCAAAAGTGACCTGAATATAGTTTATAGTTTGGTCGTACTGACGATTTTATGTTCGCACGTTGTGTGGATGTAATTTTTACCGCTCATAGTTTTAGTTTTTTGTAAGGTACGTACCAGTTCTTTTATTTTACAGTAACAATTTTCATTACTTGTAACTTTTAAGGTCTCGTTATACACTAACAGTTTTATACTTTCTATCCATCAAAAGCTTTTAACTTTGAAAACATTAGGTTATGTACAAATGTACAAGAGTGCGCAGCGAGGTATTGTATAAGAGTGCGCATTGCTTGCAATACGTAGTCTAATAGTCTTGGAGATACATATCATACGATAATGAATTATTTAACTCTACTACTTTGTACTGCTTTTCAAGTTGTGTGGTGGTGGTTATGGTGATTTTTTTTTATTTTTACTTCCTGAGCGTGTTGTAATCGATTCCGTCGACTGACTCTCTATTTTTACGTTTTCTCGACTTTTCAAGACCCCTAGAGTATGAGGAAATAGGTCTCCCGTTTTATGTGTAGTCTGTAGTCACTTATTCCCATTTATTTGCACCTTAGAAACAAATATTTTTTTATAAAATGTAATGCGCACTCATAAGCGTTCAAATGCGCACTCTTGTACAATGAACTGTCTAAGAGTGCGCATTTACACATCTTGACAAAAATTGAAATTACTCTTAAAATATAGTGATCTTGGGACGTACAATTAAATATATCTGATCTCTAAACATGTATATAACGAACCCATATCATAAAATTTGTCTATCCAAAAAAATTAAAAAGTTGTTGACAGTTTTACACTAAGTGCGTACTCTTGTACACATTTACCCTACTTATCAAACACAAGTGTTACTTTCCAACTATACAATGACAATGGAACCTAAACTATCCTTCTCCGTTAAAAATATACAACTGAAAGGCAGGAATTTTACAAATAAAAAATTATAATTGTTAATAATGTTACAATCTTTCAGATAATGATCAGCGTTTTCGTTTCTTCAAGGGTGCTCAAATTAACGTTAAAGAAAAAAATATCACCTTCACCACGTGCAACTGCAAACATCTGGATTTTGAGTTCCTCCAAAGAGACGGTGACCCGAAGCATTACCATGTGAAAAATCGAAAGGCAGAATGTCAAGAATATCAGATTGTGTCCATTTATGGCAAAGTTCAAGTTCATACAGAAAATGAGAAAACAGAAACTGTAAACATAGACAGTTTTCTGGAAGAAATTGTGTTAAAATGTTATTCAAACGAAACTCGGTGGAGGATTTCGGAAGGTAAGTGTGTTTTATTCTTTTTCAACAAATGTAAAAATGTTTGTTCAGTAATTGTCAAAGTATGACCATTCATCAAACAACCAAAAAATATGCTCGTAAATCTTTGTATTAAAGATAAGAATGAACCAAGAAACTACGTGCTATTTTGCACGCTTCGCAAAATTTTGATACGACGTTATGACGTTCTTGGAACAAATGAACAGATAAGTACCTACTGATGATTCACAATAATTTGTATGGTGTATTATTTTGCACACTTTAACATAAGTACTTATTATGAATAATGATTAATCTTAAAGTGTATTTTGTATGTATTTAGGAAAGATGAAGGAAGGACAATCGTTAAAAAAAAAATTATCGCAAGAGATAATTCGTTACCCTAAAATAAATTCATAGGTAGGATATTGTGACATTTGTTACTTTTATCTCTTATCAATATAGTAGATATAACTTCGGATTTTGTATTCTATAGCCCTACTGGGCCCCTAAGAAAATCTCTAAGCAATGTAAGTAACTTGTTATAAAATATTGTAAAAAATATGTTGCACTTCTGACATTTGTTTTATGAAAATCATTCTAATGCACTAATTTAAAGAAGAATTACACGATAAATTGTAATAAAGTATTAGACAATAAAAAAAATACGTTTTCAGTTTTTATTGTTTTAGAACAAACAATGATGCAGTATTCGAATTATCTACATGTTTCTGGAAATTTCTTTCCCAATCGAAATAATAGATAACAAAGATAAGCTGTTTTCGAATTTACTAATATCTACAGGATGAGTCACTAAGAGCGCGCTAAGCTGAAAATGGATTCTGAAAGGTTATTTTGTGCTGAATAACTATCTAATAAGACAGTATGCCTACGTCGTCAAAAAATTTTTTTTGGAGATTGTTCATAGATAGTTCCAGTTAAAGGTGTACCTACTATTGCATAATGGGAATAAATATCTAGTACTGCCGATATTTCCGTAGCTTTCTGCTGCTAAAATAAACCAAGGTAAAAACTAAAAGATTACACTGAATTTCAGTTTTCATATTATGTACGTTTTCTATATTTAGGAATTTTCATTGGGCTTGAAATTCAAATGAAGGATCAAATGTTCTACGCCTATTTGAATGATACGGAAAAATTTACTTGGGAATCAATTAGCTTAGTGATCAGTGAATTTTTAGGAAACAAACGTTCCACAAATTATGTCTCATTTGAATTTCTTTGCTGATAATGTTTTCATCGAGAAATCAAGAAAGTCGAAGAAAGATTTAAGACAAAGACCCAAGTATCCATTCTTTCCGAATACATGAGGTTTTTATAAACAGTTAGATCCTTCTACATATTCTAGGCAGGTTAAATATTCGTAGACATAATTAAATATCTGTCGACAGAAATCTGTGGAACATTTTTTTAGTGCTTCCTGCGCGTTTTTCTATGTAAAATTAGAATTCACTTCATTTTTTCTAATTGTTCAGCGGTCGACAATAAAACTTTGAATAATTTTTTTTTACGACATGGGTATATTATCTCTTTTAAGAGTTGTTCAGCACAAAATTACCTTTCCGACCATGTCTAGAAAATATATATAACAAAAACACTGTTCCACTGTGTTATTATTAGAAATAGAAAAAAAAGTCGAAGACCAAACAGTGAGGTACTTTGAGGACTATACTAAAAAATTATTTTTAACTATATAGGATGTTCTGTTTTTAAGGCGCAGTACACAACTTAGTTTTTTTAAATAAGAGACGTTTTTCCAATCTTCTTGAATCTGTTTAGCAGTAGAAGTGTTCACAAAAAAATCACACTAGGGTTATTTTTAAAATCCGTGTTACAACATTTTGTGGAGAGATAAACAAAGGCACACGCTTGTCCCGATAAAAAAATGTTACGCCATTTTCTGTTATAATGTGGATTATTATCTTACAAATTTTCACACTTGCAGATTGTTCTTCCTCTTCTCCAGGACGCTCATGTCAAATAAACTGCCTTACTCGTAACTGCCAGGAGACTGCAGAGGACATCACCTTCAAAAACAGTGGTATGTGGTAAACTACAAGTCACATTTCAATAACATTTTGATATTAAATCTTCGTCAGCCGGTTTATGATGTGGAGAAAAACATGATAAATAAAGCATCTGAAACATATTCAGTAGAAAAATTCTTATATGCGAATTTTACTGCAAAGCTAATGTATTTGGTTATCATTAAGGCTCGGATTGTATGCATCGACATATATAGTTTCGATGAATTTTTAAAACAATGCAGACGATAAGAAAATTTATTGTCGTTGCTACCAAAGATACTTAAACTTGATTTGTGAATTTAATTACGTAATCTAATTTGCAGATAAGCTCTACAAAACTATAATACCACAAGTAAAATATGTCAAGAAGCTGGAACAACCACCTTCCGTTCCACTGGTTACCATAAGCTTCGGTAAGGTATTTACATCTCGCTTTTATTTCTTTTGATCAACCTAGTAAAGATTTTTTGGTTTTGATGAAAGTGGCCAATCAATTTTTCCAAAATAGATCATTTTTTGATTGTTTGCCCTCAAAAGCATTTTTTTTCGGACATTATGAATTCATATACAGGGTGTTATGGAAAGTACGTACAAAAAAAATGGACAGTTTTTTGATAAGTAGAACAAATCTGAAAACCTTTGTGATAATACAAATTATAAAGAAGAAATCAGCCCTTTTCAAGCTTTTAAGACGCTACCGGAGGATAAATAAGTGTAATTAATTTAGCCAGAAACTTTTAGCACCCACACTTCGAAACCATTTACCGATTTTATTTTGTACGTACCTTTCGATAGCACGCTTATTTAGATGTTATTAATGTATTTATTAACAATTTTTACTTTTTCAGAGCTGTTACTAGTAATTGTAGCGGTTGTGATTCTCACAGGGTTTGTGATAATGATGTATCACTTCAGACGCGTAGATAGAGAGTTACAAGAGGCAACGAATTCTAGGCAACGTCTAGTTTGATTAAAGATTGTATATGCGTTTAATTTGTATATTTCTCGAATTTGATAACGTTTATCGTTTCATTAAGTTAAGTTAGGTATAGGTTTTACGGTCATTTGGACCCATGCTTCTAACATTATCAGTTTTTTCAGAAATTATTGTTTTATAACGCGATTGACAATTTTATTGCAGATCTTTCGTGGTAAGTTATGTTGTAAATTTAATAGCTTTTGTGTCTTGTAAATTCAGGAACTATAACTCCCACTACCGTGTCGTATTAGTCCATGGGTCCCTACTTTCCTAGGCGTAAAATCCTTGTTTAATACAGCAGAATAGGTATTTTTAAAAATATATTCTGATCTGTATATTAAAAAAAAATAATTTATGAAACATGAACCTACATATATAATATTTGATTTACGTATATTATATATAGCTTTTATAAAAAAATGTGGTACAAAACGACAATGCTCAGCGGATACCACAATAAAAATACAAACCGCTGCAGATTTAAAATTATTTCGACAATTAGTTTTAAGTAGTACGTAAGTTATTGTTGTGTAGAACTTTAGAGGCTTTTTTATAGTGTATGTTAACATAGTTTGAGCAACTAGGACTGATATTATAGTTTTATATTAAAGTTTACGACTGAAAGAGTTGTTTAATATTTGAACATACTTATCTACCAGAATTCGTATTTTTTCGATATTTTCTCACCTTTACCCGGAACAAAGTGACTCATCGACATAATACAATATCAATACACCAAAGTCCAAACTGAAGGACGTTGTAAATCCTTCAGTGTTATAAATTTCAATATTTTTTCAGCAAAAATGTCTGTCCCTCCGTTTTTATATTCTTGTATCAAAATAAAGAGTTACTGGATCAAAGAAAATTGTTTGAATTTGTATAATCCAGTTTATCACCTAAAACAAATGAGTGAAGGCTGTGTAAAAATGTTTCCGAATATGAAGTATCTTTTTTTTGTGTTTCAAATACTAAATGAGTGTAGTTTACTTCAATAAGAGTGAATAATTTTTGAATTTGTGCTACAGTGAACAAAGAAAGTGCCAAAAGTCAATTTTTTTTATAGGGTCAGTCATAAGGGGGCATGGCAAAACTGAAAAAAAATCAAAGTAGCATAAAAAATTAAATTTAATTGTTGACTCTACAGAACAGGCGCACCCTGCAAACATATTTTTAAAAATTCTGAAAACCACATTATTACTTCAATGGTATTTGAATTTTTCCCGCTGCAGGATTTTGAACACTTGTAAACGTATATATTCGCACTGTTTAAACAGAGATAACACTGATAAAGAGCGTCTATTTTGTTACAGTTTACCTAAAAAGTTAAGTAATAATATAAACTAGTGTGAACTGAATTTTACCGAATTTATCAGTGAGATACCGTTTCTGTGAAAAAAAGTATTTTTGGTAACCCTATTTGTGAAAAAATGAAAATGAAGCTGCGTAAAAACATATGGGTATGTCTTAAAATAAGCGTTTCCGGGTTCCGGTAGAAATTGCCGACGTTTTGAAAAAGACGATTGGCTTGTTCAGTATGAGCTTCACCGATTAACTTTCATTACATTTAAAAACTTATGATAATTGCATTACAAGTTGATACTTCTCCGTTGTGTGGCATCCTAAAAAAGCTTTTACTCTTACATACACAGAGTACTGAAATTCAATAAACCTTATCTGTTTCTTTTTTTTTCATGTTGCGTTCTGTATCTTTCTCTGATAAAAAAAAATCGGAATTTTTAGTATCTTGTCGCTACGCATCAGGTCCTGTGAGCGAACTAAACGTCAAGGGTCTGCGCAGTAAATTTACTTAGTAACTTTTATTACTGTTTTGTGGTACTAATCTTTTTCTTGACAGTTGGTGCCCATAACCTTATTTTATGTTGTATTACATGATAATACCTGTTCTCTGTGACACACATAATCAATTCTTCCTTCATTTTCGACATTTTGGTTTCCGCAACAATTTAATTTTGTGTTGAAATTATTTGTACAAATTGTAACATAGTGAATATAGCTTTGTGCTACTCAGCATGGCGAAGTTTGCGACATTTTTTATACTTCTTATGCAGGTGTTTTTGGTAAATACGTCTGCCGGCAATGTACCCGCCCCTGGTAAGTAGTTTCCCAAAAAAAAACCTGTTATCGTTTAATTAAATATCCAAAATTTGCCAACAACAGAGAAAAATTGCTGAAATTTCCACACCACACCCCGGCTAGAATTTTACGTTGCTGTAGTGTAAAATTTATTAGCAAGTACGCCTTAAATGTCGATGTGGTTCCAGAAAGGCTAATAATTAATCATTTGTTGCGATTGTGCAACCGTTGAAAGGTCAATATGTTGTGTCTTACATTCTTCCATTTTGGGAAAGTAACTTTGTTTTTTGAATAAAATCTCAATGTTATTCTTAGCACATACAACCTCTGTTCTGAAAATTGACAACATCCGAGAGGTGCTGTCCTTTAAGGCCATTTAATGAATACAATTTTGCCACATTTTTTTACTTCGCGAACTTAAGCTAAGGAAATATTGCAATCGAGTCCTCCATCTGTTCAATCTTCTTCCCTCTCCATGCCCACTCTTCCTTCTCCTTTCTTACTTTCTTCCCAAAACACCACCATTTTTGTTTTTTCCACATTCACTTTTTTTGTACGTACTTCTCGAAACTTTTAATCATTGTTTTCATTTCTTCGCTTTTCTTTGCCACAATTACCAAATCATCTGCGTACGCCAGCGACCACACTTTCTCTTTTCCCACTACCACCCCTCTTGTCCGTGCTTTTCTGATCATTTCATCTATATCTCCTAGATAAGCTGCAAACAATGCGGGGCTGAGTGGGCATCCTTGTCTCACTCCTCTATTTGTATAAAAACTCTCACTCTCTATTCCATGCATTCACTCTCACCGTATTTACTGTTTCTTCATATATTTCTTCCATTTTCGTTACCAGGTATACATCTACTCTCTTTCTCCTCAAACACTCCCACATTTTCTTTCTATTCACTCTATCAAACGCTTTGAAATCTATGAACAATACGTACATTCGTCCACCCTCTTTCCTTATTTCTCTTCCTACTAAAGCCGCAGGATGTACACATTGTCCATAGTACCTCTTCCTTTCCTAAGCCCTGCCTGACCGTCTGGTAATATACCTCTTGCTTCCATCTCCTTTCGTAACCTCTCATCCAGTAGCATTGCGTATATCTTGTACGCCGTATTGAGCAAGGTCGGTAGGTCTTCACATCACTTTTTTGCCCCTTTTTAAATAATGGTATTATATCTTCTCTCCACTGCCAAGGAAACTATTTTCCCTTCCAAACTCCATATTCCCATATCCTTTCTTTCACTCCTTCTGTCCCGAACATCCACGCTTCGTTCTGGATTCCATCCCCTCCTGGTCCCTTTCCTATTTTCAGTCTTTCAATCTGTCTTCCTATTTCATCTTCTGTTATTTCCAAACCTCTCCACATTTCTTCCGTCGTTGTGATTCCTTTATTTATTTTGCATTTTTCCTCACGTCCCAATAATTCCATAAAGTATCTTTTCCATTCATGTTTTTTGATTTTCCTACTGACTTCAGTCTTCCTTCTCCGTTCCTTGTTTATATATCTCCATATTTCTTCTTCTGTTTTAAGGGACTTCATTGTCTTGTCTTCTTCTTCTCGTTTTTGTATTTTTTTATTTTTCTTTATTCACATTTTCTCCTATAATTAATTCTCTCTTGCTTTTAAGTACTCTTCTTTCCTTCCCCCGTTATTCTTCCATTTTCTTAATTTTTCTCTAGCTTTTCTCTTCAATTCACTACATTCTCCGTTCTATTGATTATTCCTCCTTGCCATATGTATATCTTTCTTTTTTTCCATAGCTTCTACAATTAAGTTCATCAGTTCTGCTATCATAGCTACTATATCTTCTTTTACTTCGAATTTCTTTTTTCTAGTCTACTTCTCTATCTTTGAATTGCCTCTTCATTCCATATTCTTTTTTCTATTTCTATCTTTCGTTTCTTCTATCTTGTCTTTCGTACTCTTGCTCTTTTCCTTTGATTTTTATTTCTAGTGGCATGTGGTCTGATTCTACTCTTTCCCACACTTTGAAATTTTCTTTTTCTTCCCACGCCTCTTCGTTGACAATCCCATAGTCTATAATTGATTCTCCCCTAGCCCCTACGTACGTCCATTTGCTTTCTTCGTCTCCTTCCTTGTTTCAATTCAAAATTTACCATCCCATTTCTTCTATTATCTTCCACAATATTTTTCCTTCTTTGTTATTTGCTTTGTCTTTTGATCCTCTGTTCTCTCCCTTTTCTTGTCCTCTTATCGCCCAGTCTTGCGTTAAAATCCCCTCCTATAAGTATTTTTTCATCTCCTTTTTCTTTTGTGTCCTTTTCTATGTTTATCTTGGTTTCCTCCATTTTCTTGCTATAAACGATTATTATTTCCCATCGATTGTTATCCAGCTGTATTTCTTTCTTCATTAGTCCGTTTTTATTATTACTTCCCTTTTCCAATTCTTGCATTTCTTTCCGAATTCCCGCTACTATTCCCCCGCTTGTCCCCCCTTTTTCTTTTCTTTTGTCGCCCCTTGACACTTCCACACATATTCTTGTGGTAGTGTCTCTTCAAATTCCTCCCAGTTTTCTGTTTGTACCCATGTCTTTACTACCCCCACCACATCAAGTTTTCCCACGTAGTCCCAGAACTCCTTTTCCTTTTTTCGCAACCCTTGAATAATCCAAAACAGTACCTTCACCCCTTTTTCTCCCAATTTTGTACCAGCTTCCCGTTTTACGATTTCCCTATTTGCATCCTTAATTCCTTTTCCTTTGCCTTGTTTCCTTCCATTTTTCCTCCTTTTCTTTTGGCTCTTTACTAAAAATTTTCTGCCTTCTTGAGTCTGCCCTCTTCCTCATTCCATTCAAAATTTCTGCCGGCTACAGTTAACTTTTTATATCCCATTCTAACCATTTTTCCTTTATTTCTCTCTTTTGTTGCCTCTTCTTTTATCTTGTTTCGAATTTTTTTTTCCGTTTTCGTCAGATCACCATTTATGTAAATTGACGACCCTTTTAAGTTCGTCTTGCTTTTCAGTACATTTATTTTTTCTTCTCTCTTTTCGAATTCCACTACATAAACTTTCTCTGCAATTTTGTAAGCGCTTTGAACTTTACTCTCTACTTTGACTTTCTCTTCTAAAAATTTTGTCACCTTTTCAATTATCTGCTTCTGCTCTCCTGTTTCTATTTCCAATTCCATCATCACTACTTTGTTTCTGCTCTTTTCTCTCTCCATTCGATCTAGTTGACTTTCTACTTCACCCACTCTCTTTCCCATTTCTTCCTTAGCTCGCTTCCATTCTTCATGCTTATCTTTAATTTTCGTGATTTTGCTCCTGTAGTTGATTTCTTACTTGCTTTAATTGTTCTCTTATTATTTTAAGCTCCTCTTTAAGCTGTGTTCCATTCCTTCAATAATTGTTTATTACTTTCTCTCATAACACCTCTGATTTGTGTCGCAAGTTCGCTGATCATTTTCTTGACTTCCTGGATCTCTATATCTCCTTGATTTTTCTTCTTTATCGATTGTAGTGGTGATCTTACTGTCATGAAACGCCAAGAAAACATAAAAGTGACGTACACTCGGGAAGTAAAAACGCACGAACTTGTCTATTTAACAATGGTATAAAAGCTGGTTAATAACACCAGACTTGTTAATTTTTTGAAAATCAACGATCAGGATGAATGGAGACCAGACGCAAACCCTAAAGTGTCCGACTGTGGTGAGGAATTTGACTAGTGTGATAATTATTTTTGACGAATAAGAGGTCAATAATATATTCTAGGGTAAATTGGTTTCATTTAGCACTTAGTTTAATGGAATTAATGAAATTCTTACTAACATTGCCGTTTAAAAGTTTAATATTTCATGCTCTGCGCATTTTTGGGGAATTAAAATCAACTCAGTGTGGAACGATATATTTTGAAAGTTATATTTTGTAAAATATTTTTTACTGAAGAAACTTTTTAGGAAAGAGGCGTCTAATAGATGTAGTTAATTTAATGTGCAGTATATTTAACAATATCGTCACATATTTTATTACTACCTAAGTAAGTAGACAAATATTTCAAACTGTTTATTGTTTCAGGTTTTCGTATGTTTGGAGGTACTGTCGTCAATATTAACGAGGGAAACATCACCGTCGACATATGCGGCTGTAAGCACACAGGTATCCGTTCCGTCCTAAATAACAACGATACAAAGTCAGTTCGGGACTACAATGTCACCAGCAATACCGAATGCCATCAGTATGAAATCGGGTCCATAGGTGAAGAAACAGAAATCGCCCAAAATACAACTGTTATAAAAAGATATCGCGGTGATTTGGAAGAAATCTATCTGGAGTGCTACGAAGGCACAGGACATTACAAGTTTCTTAATAGTAAGTGGATGTGCTTAGATCACAGAGTATAAAATCCAATTTTGATTGTCATCGATAGCCATTTTGAAACCGCTTATCATTTTTGTTATTGTAGTTTAAACTTTTCTACACCTTTTATCATATAATTTAATAAAAATTTATATCATTTCAGACTGTTCAAGTGGTGCTGAGACACGTCCATGTAATATTTCTTGCCCTGTTTCATACTGCCAGGAAATCCTTGACGACTTGGAGAAAAATGACAACTTTAGCTTCGTCAAAGGTATAATCGTCCAAAGTTAGCAGTGCTTTTACGATTTTAATTCTTGAACCACCCTTGTCTTCGAGGCGAAACTAGAGGGTCCGTGGTGAGAGTGACCGTGACGGTTTCGCCGGTATCGTACTGGGGCTTGTGAAGTGTGTTGGTTTACACGTCTAGAGGTCACTGTCACGCCACGGTCGAAAACCCAATTTCTGTCCAGGCTGTCTGTAGCTGTCTAGTCACACCAGGTTGTACATACCATCAGAACGAGATATGAACTTGGACAGGAGTTGGCGTGATTCCTCTTTTACATTATTGATCTGGAATAATTATACAATTGCGTTACAGTTCTCATCTTTTGGAAAATTCTCTAGTATTTCCACGTGATATAAACAAAGATTCTCATTCCAATAATACCCCCGCTACGATACAAGTAAATATCATGTTATATTAAAAAAAAAAACATAGTTTGTTCTTAATACATAATGAACATAATATTGCTTACGTTTAATTATTTAACAGCAAGATGATTTTTATTGATCATTAGGCTTCGGATTTTAGGTCGTTAAAAAATGAATAAAAGGAGACATTTTTAGGTTCCAAAATTGACGAATTAGGTTATAAAAATCTTAGTTTAAGTTAAAAAATTGTATGCTTTTGCTCAACGAAAAAGCATACATCAAAAAAATGTATATTAAAAACAAACAAAAAAATGATTAAATAAACAAACGATCTAAAGTTACGTCCACTAATTGTAAGTTATCGCAAAAAAATGGCGATCGAATTAAAGCAAGTCGCATTTAACAAAAAATAAAATATTAATTCAGGTATTTAAAATGAGTTACAAAAGCAAACTATATATTTCTCTAAATTTTCGATTCTAAATGTACACCTTTGATCGCTTAAAACACTTTTAAGTTTTGAAAACGTGCGTTCCACATCACAAGAAGTGATGGGTGCAAAATTAAATATTGAACAATCCACTTTTTCATTTATGTATGTATTGTTGGTAGCATTTCCATTACCGCAAATTACGTTATTTACGGACATATAAAATCGTATCCTGTGTTCTTTTTTAAAAGAGAACATAATTTTTGGAACACCATTTCCCCCACCTTTTCTGGTGTGTGTTTTTACAGATGTATACACTTCTTCCACAATTTCCATATTTTGGTTTAATTTTAAACCTAGTTTCTAATTGTTCTATTGCATCAGCAATAATTTTAAAGTGAGTTTTAATGTAAAAGAGTTCATTTTTAACGTTTGCTTTATTCAGAAATTCTTGAGCTTTTTTAATGCTTTGTGCATCTGTGGCTTCAAATGACATTACAACGTAAAAATATTCAGTATAAGAATGATAGTAAAAAACCATTATATATTTACTGACTTGTTTTAAAACAATGCTGCTTGAATCCAAGTACCCCACCTCGTTAATGCAGGTTCAGGTGGGAGAGTTGTATTTGGTAAACTGTTTTTATAAAACTCTACTCTTATTGGTGCTTTGAAAAATATTTTCTTGTCATTGCTAATTATCCCATTGACATCTGGATAATTCAGTCTAAGTGTGTTATATTTTCATAAAACACCTTCAAATTAGTACCAGTTTTGATCATGTATGAAGCACCATCTGATACAAACCATTTAACTTTTTTGTGTTCAGTTCCTTTTGGCCACAATAAAGCTGCAAATTAACAATTAAATAAATTATAATAATTTCAATGCTTAAAATTATCAACAGCACACCCAATGATTCGCTTATAAATCTCGAGATTGTGTTATTAATTTTATCAAGGTGCTTCAAAGCTAGTAGAAATGGACGGCCAGCTTCTTCAGAAGATAACTTTCCAATTACTAAATGGGTTATGTATCTTCCTAATCTGTCCGTCGTCTCATCGACGCTAATCCATATATTATTATTGCCAAAAGAATTTCTAATTCGTTTAATTACCTGTAAATTATAAAATTTATGTTAAAAAGTTTTTAAATAAAATTTATAGTGCTCACCATATCGTAATCTTTTGGTAAATAAAAATTTTTCTCAGAGTGCTTTCTGAGGGTAAATGCCTTTCTGTATATTTATGCATAAAATTTTTAAACTCAGAACAACTAACTTTATTCCATGGAATATTTGCTGCGGTAAAAGCCCTACATAAATCGCTGCAAAATTGCGCAAAATCATTGTCGGAACTAACGTTTAATAAAGTCTGTTTACTGGATTTATTCTCTGATTTTTTTTCGCCCTTAAACTAGGAAACAAAAATGTGAACATAATTCAAGCTTCAGTATTTTAAATGTTTACTTACAACTTTTCCACACACTTTGCAGAATAACTCATTGTCTTTGGTTGAAGAAGGAAATTGAAAATTAGTGTCCAAATTATTCCCTAACCATAATTTGATTTTATCTTTCATGGATGATTTCACCTTAGGCATTTTGAGGATTCTTTACTGTATGCACAAAAATTAAAACCGGCCCCAGCACACTCACTAACACGCAAAAACATTCAGTATCACTAACAATTAAGTTCTAAAATAAAATGCTTTTTCAGAGATTCACCTTCTTCCGGCTATAATCTAAATAAAATGCAGGCCAGCGTTGTCAGTTGGCGACGCCAACCCGTACCATTAAACTCAAGGGCGTTGTTTACAACCCATTTTTAAACAATCTGTCAGCCAAAACAATGAATTCACGGAAAATCTCTATTGTGCAGGCACGTCCGCTACGTTGGTCGTGGAATCCTATTTTAAACCTTTTAAAATTTACAATTAAGTCGTTTAATTAACACTTTAGGTCTCTGACGTAAATTAGGCATTTTAGATTTTGATAAATGGGCGTTAAATAAACAGCATTTTTTAAATTAGGATAAATATATAAATTTCGCTGCAATGCCTAAAGTGGATATAAAAAGGCAAAAAACCTAAGATCCGAAGCCTACTGATCATACTACAACAGCATCCTCTCCCGTACACAAGAACATCAGAAAGAATGAAACACAACATTCCTGTGACTGTAATAATTTCAGAAAGAATGATCTTCCCTACCACCTCAATTCTAACACCCACTACACTGTACCGGCTATCCCAACGATCTAATCAAGGAAAAATTATCATATTTAAAATTTCACAATCCAACCACTTTTAATTTTTTGCAAATTTGACAACGCAATAAGAATAAAATATATTGCATGCAGTTATCTTTTTACTTTGTAATACAAATATATAGGATGTTATTTTTAAAAACGTACCTGCTTATTTAAAAAAATATATATATCGTATCGGGGCGTATCAAAAATTTTCACATAATTTTCACCTCCAAATTGTTGCATTCAAAATTCAAACGAGTCAATTGTTTTCAGAGAACCTTTTTTAACTCTTTTCTTTCTATTGCCACAAAATCATTTGTTAAAACATTTGTTTATTAACTTGTTGTTTTTTTTTTTAGTACTCGACATCATACTCATAATATTGGGAGTCTTGATAACACCGACAATAATCTACTTTTGCTATAAACACGGAGTGCATTGTCCAAGAAGTACATCGGATCACTATAAAAATTTTAGGGCCGTTTTTACAAGGAACAGTGGACGAGAAACAACGTTTGTTAATCCGCCAGAAGATCCACTGCCAGTATGACAACCTGAATCGTTGTTCCATGTAAAAGTGACACAAATATGTGTTTAAAATTGAACAAACTTCTTCTGTGACTATATGTGTACACAACTTTGTTTGATTCTTTGAAACAGTGAGTTTTTTAGGTACACTTATCGATTGTCATGGAAGTGTAGAGGCATTATTTTTTGTTTGATTATAGTCTACTGTAATTCATACTCAATGTTTGCTTTTGTAAATTTACTTACGTATTATATTTAAGATAACATATGTATTTTATATAATGTAATGTTCACTGCAGGCGGCCATTATGAATGTAAACATTTTTTCCGTATGGAGCAATAAATTAAGTATGTTGAGTAATGTAGAGACTGTAAAGGAAATAATGCCCATAAGAATTTATCCTAACAGTGAACTTTACCATTTTTTCAATTACAATAATGCTAATTGCATTTTAAATTTAATTGTTTTATTGAAAATTCTGCTGCATTATTTTCTCTACATTTACTCTAGATGACTGGACACTATACAAACCTTCCATGGATGATTAATCTCTTCCTACTGTTCGCGTACGAGAGTATTGTGGGGGAGTCCACGACGGAAGTGTTTGATGAAACTCAACCGGCACAATTGAACAATAAAAATTAAAATTAATTTTACAAAAATACATACAATAATATTAAAACATGGTCCAAGCAAAACAAATTAACTTCAACAAAGAAACAAAATTAATAATAATAATCAAACTACTTAGTTAATATAATAATAATAATAAATTCGGTCTGCGATTCTCCACGGACTTCAACTCGTACAGTTTTCGTGCTGCAAACAGGCTCGGGAACAGGGGCAGGAGAAGATAGAATCAGTTGGCCCTTCAAGGAAGGCAAAAGCACTAGCAATGAACAAAAAAAAGGAGGAAAAGAAATTATAGAAATAAAAAATAAAAAGCCAATGCAAAGGAAAAGATAGAATCAGTTGGCCCTTCAAGGAAGGCAAAAGCACTAGCAATGAACAAAAAAAAGGAGGAAAAGAAATTATAGAAATAAAAAATAAAAAGCCAATGCAAAGGAAAACAGTAAACATTGTTAGCGAGGGATCAATAAAGAAAAACACTTACCTTGCCTTGAGCATTGAGTCTTTTGCCCATAAACTTTCAGGAGATTCAAGTTTCTCATTTATTCTTATAAAGTAAGCTAATAGTGTGCTCTGTGATATTTGTATATTATACTTCTTTTCATTGCACCACTGTTGAAACAGCTTGAAAATATGTTCGATCGTGCTTTGGACTTCTCAGGTATAGATGCTGGACATCCGATGTTCCAGGCCTCTTCAAGCCCATGAGAATCCCTGCTTTCTTGCATTCGTGAATGTCTGTTTTGAGTTTTTTAATAAAATTTTGGATGTGAAATTTATGACAAGGTACCTTGTTTTTTACACAACTACTCGCAGTTGAAACTTGCAGAAAGAGGGGGAGACTGAGAAAAGACGAGTCAAAGGGAAGAAGGATAGATTAGGATAGGAGAGACAGAAGGCAAGATGGGGAAAGAAAAACGAATGAAAGGGAAAAAAGGCCAAAGTGAGAAACGTAAGGCGAGAACTAGAAAGGAACACAATAGAAGAGGAAACGAGGCAGGGAGAGAAATGAGAAACTAGGAAATGGCGAGAGAGAAAACAGGCTTGAGGAGGAGGTAGAGAAGGCAAAATGAAGAAAAAGAAAACAAAGGGAGTGACAGAAAGCAGAAAGAGAACAGATTAGAAGTAAGAGATAGACAACACGAGAGAAGAAAGAAGAGAGAAGCTAGGAGGAGGTAAATGGAGGGAGAGAACAGGCTAAACGGGAGGAGAGAAGAAACGAAAGAAAGATAGAAAAGCCAAAAGGGAGAGAAAAAACGCCAAAGTGAGAAACAAAACGTGAGAACTAGGGAGAAACGAAATAAAAGAAGGAATTAGGAAAAGAGTGGAATGAGGAAAATGAAAATGGTAGAAGTATAGAAAGAATTCGGCAAATTTTGACTTACGTGAGTATTGCTCTCACAGTGCGATAAGTGATATGTTTTTAAACTTTTGCGCTAACCGCGCCATCTTGCCACTAGGTAAACAAAACACAAAATTATTACTAACAAATACTAATAGTGGTGCCGAAGCAGGAAGAATGTCTCCAAATATTAATTCCTTTTTTGTACTTCAAATACTTCTAAGTGTAGTTTACTCCAACAAAAGTAAGTAATTTTTTGATTTTCTGCTAGCGTGAATTAAAAAAAAATGTCAAGATCACTACTAACATAGGTACATGAAATCTCTAAAAAGTTGGGTTATGCAGAATGATGCAATGAAATATAAAAACATTTTCCCAAAAGTCTGAAAGGCCTTCTACTACTTTAACGTCATTTCAATTTTTCCCGCTGCATGAATTTGACACGTCGAGACATATAATACAGTAGGGGAAAATAAATGTAAATAGAGATATAAAAGGTAAACTGATAAACTGATAAAATAATGAACATCGTTCTATTCTGGTACAATTTACCTAAAAATGTATATAGTAATATTAAGTTTCTGTAAAGTGAGATACCTACGATTTTAGTGAAAACCCAGTTTTTTTGTTATTATGTTCAGTTATGCTGCTGGAATTTAAAAAATGGTGCCGTGTGCGGTTTTAAGGGTAAGTTAAAAATTTTCTTTAGTGGTATAGGGAATCTGTTACGGCTAGAATTAATCAATTTAAACGAACGTTAGTTAACAAAAGAGTAACTTTCAAACAACGAATAGTTTAGTGTAAACATGCATCTGGAGAATTTGCTGACGTTTCAAAAAGGCAATTTTTCGTCTTCAGTAAGAGCTTCAAGATTAGTTTCCATTAAAAATTATATCCTTGCGTATTTTTCATTTTATTTTGATTTTTATTTATTATTCAATTTATGATTTATTTCTTTCCTTTTTCTACAAATTCTGTTCTGTATAAAGAGTTAAGGGATTCATTGTTCAGAGGTGAATTCTAGACTTCCTATTATTTTATCTAAGGATTGCCTTGCGCCCTTGCACCAACTTAAGTAAATTATGCCCACTAGATGGTGCGCCAGGCATGCAGGTACTAAAGTCCCTAGGTCACTAAGTAGTACTAGCCTAAAGTCACTCACTCACGATCAGTCTTGATAAGATGGTAGATTTGTTAATAACAGTTTTGACACTTCTTAGAGTGTTTTCGGTAATCACGGCCCCTGTAGACAACATGCCTGGTAAGTAGTTAACTACAAACATATTATAGTAAGCCAAAAGCTGTAAGGTTATATGGCCATCTAAAAATTATCCCATTTTTCGAGGTGAAGTTGTCGTGCTGAAACTCATTAAAGTGATTAGGATGGTTGTAATTTTTATTTCTCTCCACTGTTTGGGCACAGCATATCTCTTATTTAAGTACTAACTGAATGGTACGCGGCATTCGGCCCAAATTTATGGCATCTATGAGCTGTGGTTAGGGGTTTATTGAGCGTTTGAGACGTTCAGCTTATTGTGACGGCTATTTTGCAATGGAAAAGGTTTTAGAGTCGTAAATAACGTGTCAATTGCAGCTTGGCCGGCTGTTGTCGTTCGTTCAGGGGCGGCTTTTATAGTGGTCCAACTCTGACTTCGTTTTTATGGCACTGCAATCTCAATTGCCGCAAGTATTAGGAACTCTATTGAAAATGTAAATAGCCGTACAATAAATCATCTTAAAGGTTTATGGGCGCATACGGCCCTGTGTAGTGTAGACAGTTGGTCTCTTGATGGTTTATAACCGCTGGATTACTTGCAGCAGAGGTCTATTGTGTAACACTTAACTCCTTCACAATAGAATGCAGTCTTAAAAACGAACCAACAGTTGGAGCACTATACTAAATATCTAAATCTAAGCAAGAAATGTTTAGAAGACGATTTATTGCCAACTGGTAAGCTTAGTGCGAACCAAACAAAAAGGGTATTTATTTGCAGTCAACTACTTTTATGATGGTCATATAACTTTATTTATTTTCAAATTCCGACATACCACTTGCAGATTTTTAATTCGTGAAAGAAATACATCATATATTTTTCTTCCATGGAAATATATTCATGACGAAACTTCGTTCTTTCGTGAAATAATCAGTTTACTAAAAACTACCATCAGACACACACGTCTTGGTTCCATATTAACCACGAATTTCAAAACTTTCCAAGTTATATTTAGAGCAAGTCATAATGGTAAACACGCCCCCGTATTTGCATTATTATTGTGCAGGTTATAAATAAGTAAAAGAAGTCGAAGCACAATAAATAAAAACAGGAAAAAACGTATCAATATTCCTAGATATTCGTTTAGTGGACACTACTCATTTCCCTTGCAGTTAACGTTTCTATTTCCGTCTGTTTCCTTGTTATTCATATTCTTTATTTCTTCATTATTTATTTTGCATCTTTTGCATTTCAGTTTTTATGGCTGTCATCGCTACCAGTGATTGAAAAAATTACTTTTAAAAAATAATTCATTACAATTACTCATTTCAATAAGATAAAATTCTCCATACAAGGGTACTATATTCATAATTTAAATTTAACAATAATTGACACTCAAAATTTTCGTCAGCTAAGGCAAAGGTCTTGTTTTAAAAAATCCGCGCCAACACTAGACATTCTTTCCACTGTGGCGCTAGATGGAATTGTTGTATCCTATATGTTAGAAACATGTCTCCAAAACATGGAGCACTTTGATTCAATAGATTCAATTGTTTATTTTAATTTTTTAAAAAATTATCGAAATTTGTTTTTATCAAATCTTCATCAATTCACAAAAAAGGAATTTTTAAAATTTTTGGTTACTATACTCACCACCCTGTCAAACAGAAGTGAGCTCATACTTTACCATCTCCTTGTTTGCTCCGCCTATATTCAAAATTAAGTGATCTGATTTTTCACCATTCGTCTGTATACTTTTCCAATTACCTTCTTGTGTACTTATACTTTTCACGTGGTATTTATTTTAACTGATTTGTTACTTTTAGGTCTTCTATATTGTTTATCTTTCTATTGTATAGACACTATTTCCCTCTAGAGAAATTTAAGAGCGCCCTGCTTCGATCTGATCTCCAATGGTCTTTTTTTTTCTTGACTTTATTTAAAGCTTTTTTAGTTACTCTGCTCGTATTTCTTCATCTTCCTCTCCTCGTTGTACAATGCCATATACCATTTTTAATTAATCTGGATCTTGGTCTTGCTGTAAATTTTTATTTACAGTATTCTCTCGCCATATCTTCGGAATTTCTTTTATTTCCGCTTTCACTTGATCTTGTTCATTTGTTTTTCATCGAATTTGTTTTCTTTTTTCTTATCATAGTGACTTAATATTGTTCCAAAATATATCTATTTTTTTCTTCGTAGTTTTTGTTGACTTCTTCACCGAAATTTTCCCACGATTTCCTTGTGATTCCTCTATTTTTTTTTAACTTCTTCTCTAACGACTTTATTTTGGTCTAGTTCACTATTTATTTATATATCTTTCATACTTTCTTCTTTCTTTTATGGAGA